TTTCTCGACTTTCAGAAATTATGCTTGGCTATTATTCTCTTAATGTTCCTAACTAAATAAACACAGGCAAGTGAGATAGGAGCTTGGGATTTATGCACATCCAAAATAAGTTACTATCACGATGCTGGAAGTATGTTAAGTTACCACAAAAATTTAACGATGCAAGGTTACAGAGCACTAATTTACAGGTAAATTATATAAATTCAATTTACAGAGAACTAATTTTTTTTTTCTTAAAAAATTATAATTAAATTTTGTGATAAATTTATTGGCAGTGGTGATCATGATATGTGTGTGCCTCACACTGGAACTGAAGCATGGACAAGATCTCTTGGATATAAAACTGTGGATGCATGGAGGTCTTGGACTCCATCAGATGATCAAATTGCTGGATATTTGCAAGCTTATGACCATAATCTTACCTTTCTCACCGTCAAGGTTCGTTATTAATTAACTTTAAAACAATCTTTTTTGTTCGATATAAAATCTAAATACTTTTTTTTTTTTTTTTTGACTTTTGAAAACAAAGGATATAAGGAGTCTTATAAAAACATGTTTAGTAGAAATGAGTCGAAATGTTTTTTAAAATAGTTTTAAGATATAATCCTTAAAAATAATGTAAAATAAAAAAAAACAATTAAAAGTCGTAGTTTTTTTTTGTTTTTTTATTTAATAGTTTTTAATCTTAAAACAAATTTTTACAAATTTTGAAAATTATTTTAAACACATTCTCAAATATTAAAAAATATTAAGTTACAACTCAAAAAGTTGAATCATATTTTAGTTTATAAAAATTGTTTTCATATCTTAAATCAAACAAAATATCTCATTATGTTTAATTAGTTTTAGAATAGCTAGGGAAAATTTCATTTGCATCTATAAATTAATTACTTAGAACGTTTTCTAAAACATTTTTTGGATACAATCTTAAAAATTAGTATAAAATTAGAATTTTTTTTTTTTCAATATCGTACTTTTTACTTAAAATTCTGAACTATTTAATGACCCTTTGTTTAATGATTCAATCAACTCTTTCAATTTTTTTTTTTTTTTTTTTCTAAATTTAAACTTTCAAAGGGAAAAATTAATAGTTTTAGCTTGTGAATTAGTATGGAAATATAATTATAGTTTTGATTTTGCAGGGGGCAGGGCACACAGTTCCTGAATACAAGCCGAAAGAGTCATTGATGTTCTACTCTAAGTGGCTTGCTGGAGAACAAATTTGAAATAAGCACAATCTTTCAACTTAATAAATGTTTCAATTCCCATTTTGGCAATAATAATTTATGGGAAATCTTTTAAGAAATATTATTTTGCTTCACTCATTTTTATCATCGCAAATTCAAATGAAATCCCATGTAGTCAATAGAAGTTGAACAAAGTAAAATAATTTAATTGAATATAAAAGTACAATAAAAATTAATTGTTTTTAATTCTATTTTTCATAAGCTTTGAGAGATATTGATAAAAATATATTTTTTTTAAATTAACTTTTGATAAAAATAAAATCCCTTTCAATTTTTTTTTTTTCTAATTTCAATTGAACCAAGTATTGACTAGCTCAATTTTGTTGGTGAAATGAGGTTACTTTTATTTTACGAATATCCACGGACCAACTAACAATCTAAATTTTTTTTGAATATTTTACTAAGAATATATATATGAAATTGATATCCAACCATGTGGAATTTTTTTTTTTTTTTTTTTTTTTTACCTCTGGGTGGTGAGGTTCAATAGGGATTCTTAGGTGTATTACTCAAGAAGTCATAAGTTCAAGTTTCTTTCGGTTGTTAATAGGGATAACTACTTGAGCTCTTATCAGGTTAATAGTTCTAAGGTCTCGGAAGATTAGTTAAGGTACGCATAAGCTGTTGTGAACACCCTATCATTAAAAAGAAAAAAAAAAAAAAAACATTGTAGGTTCTCGTGTATCAGTAGACTCAGTACCATATTAGTTGTTGGTTAGACAATATCAATTCTATAATAAATGTGATACTAACAAATAGATGGAATCAAATTTTTGTATAGTAGTGCCATATTAATTGTTGGACAAATAATATCAAGTCTATCATTAATGTGATATTGACATATAAATGGATCAAATTTTCATATATTAATACTAGAGGTGTTCGGTTATGGGTACTCTATATTTTTTGAAGGAATTAGAACTGACGGTTCCTTGAAATTTGGAACCAAAATCGGAACCAAAGGTTTCGGTTCCTAGGTACCTAGAACCATAACCCGTAACAACGATTCTAGTTTTGGTTCTAGGTACCCTATAAAATTACATGATCCCCTAAAAGTTTTTAAAATAACAAAAAACCCATAAAAACTTACAAATACCCCCCCAATCTGGCACTTGTTAACAAAAATAAAATTACAAATTATAAATTCAAAATTACAAACTTCATTACTTTGTAAATGTAGATTCTCAAAAGTCAAACCAACTTACTTTAAATGTACCCGTTGAAGGTTGGAACCAGAATCTACCCATTGAAGGTTGGTTCTGGGTAGGAACTGGAACCGAACCTCGGGTACTCGCCGGTTTCGGTTTCAGTCGGTTCTTTTGAACACCCCTAATTAATACCATATTAATTGTTGGACAAACAATACTAATTCTAAAATTAACGTGATACTAATGTATAAATGGGTCAATTTTTATACATATAACATTTGCTATTACTAAATTGGAAGCAACTTTTTTTTTTTTTTTTTTTTTTTTTTTTTTGTTTTGTTTTTGAACACAATCCGAATGCATCTGTCTACAATATTGAGGAATCATCTTTTTACTGTTTTTTAATTGAATTAACTTTTAGCATTGCATTCAAAAACAGTTTTACGAAGATTTTTCATGAAAATTTCGTATCAGATAAGCCCTTGATAGCTGATCCTACATCAATTATCTTAAATTTAGAGGGCAATAAGGGAAATACACGTATCTAGAAGGAATCCTGCGGTTCCAGCTTTTTCAAAGCTAAAAAGCAGTCAATATTAACGTTTAATGAAGAAAATGACGTAGAGAAAGGGCTAATGACAAAATTTCTCTTGACTTTTAATTGGCTATATATTGAACGTAATTACAGGCAAACCTCACTCATATCAACCAAGCCTCACTCACGTCAAGTTATCAATCTAATTTGGATTTTAATTGGCTATGTCCGTTGACTAAGTCAAAGTCTTCTTTATTTGTCGTTCTCATATAACCAGCTCGTGATAATGAAATTATGGTATGTAAAAAAAGACTCCCTTGGTTTAACTTTTTAGAATAGTAGTCTATTCTAAATATTATTGGATATGATTTAATTAAATAGAATAAGATTATAAAAATGTGTTTCATACATTTTTTAAAAATATTTTCTGAAAATATTTAGATTATTTTTTAACCCTCTATATTTGTTAATTTAATTAAACACCCCTATAATAAAAGTTTATAAATTAACAAAAACACTCTCACCCATTCAATAAAAGTTTATAAACATTTAACAAATACGTTGACGGCCAGATCTGGTCGTTGACGACTGTCATATCTTGGCCGTTGTCAACGGCTAGATCGTTGACTATAGATCTGGTCGTTTTCGACCAGATCCAATCGATCGTGTATCATTACGGTGACTTTTGGCCGTCGTCTGATGGTGGTGTGCCAGATTTGGCCATCAACGTATTTGGCCGTCAATTAGTTGGATGAATATAAGTGTTTTTGTTAATTTATAATCTTTTATTGAAAATGGTAATTGTTAAATGTTTTAAGTTGAATATAATAAGATTGAATTTTGATTTGAATAGTCAATATTAAAACAAATATTTATTTCATTAGATTGGATAGGATAGGATGGAGTTTGAAAAGTGTACCAAGCAAGGAGGTTAGATTCTTTTTATCCTAGTTTTACCTTAACAAAAAAGTTGGTGGGTAACAATGGTAGTACCTTTACTCATGATTTACCTAAAATGTTGTAATGGGGGGTTGTTATGGGATAGCTTCCTTTGAAGATTAGTCGAAATGTGTGTAAGTTTTCTCGAATACCTTAGTTACTAAAAAAAATAAAATAAAAAATTGGGGGTTTGTTAAAAGAAAAACTCAGCACATAAATTTTAACCTCAAATATTTATAAATATACATTAAATCGTTAAAAGCTCATGAGAGCTCATATCATCAGATGATCCTAGCTCAAAAAACATTTAATGGTATATATGTAAAATTGAGATCCCAAATTTGTATCCCAATGCATGTGACAATTGATTTGTCAATATATCCCTTAATTTACTCTAATGGTTAGATACTATGAAAACATTAAATCAATCGAATTTTGTAAAGTAAAAATTGTAAAAGTTGGTTTTTAGTGTTTATCTACATCATTTAATGCAAATTTAAATTTTACAAAACAAAAAATTGGATATTCGCATTTGAGAATTTTTCGATTGCAAATAGTCATATACAGTTTGTAATAATTGATTTTTTACAATTTAAAACAATCAACTATTTATTAAAGACAAAATTGTAATAATTGAAGTTGGACTTTAAATAATTGGCCATGCCCATCCGTGTCAAAATTTTAATTTTATGTGTTATAACATGATAGTGTTATCTTATCAATGATAACAATCAAATAGACCGATATTAATTAATAATGGAGAGTTTATTTTTAAATAAGGTCCTAATAAAAATGGTGTTCTAAACCTTTTTTTTTTTTTTTTAACCTTTATAAGGTAATCTGTAAAATCTATGAGACTTGATAATTCATCCTCCCTCTCCCTATAAATAACTAGAGCAATCAATTATAATCTCACTCACAAAATTAGGGCCAAAAGGGAGTTCAAGATTCTGCTTCTTCTGAATCAAGGTATGCAAGAATTTCAATTTTATATGTTAAAATATGAATAATCAATAAAAAAAATTATTAATAATTTAATTAACCAATAATATAGAATGATCATAAAGTATCTCATAATTATCACAAGATATATCAACATTAAAATTAAAATGGAGGTGGTTGTATCCATCCCTCCTACCAACAGTTTGAAAATTCTATTTTCAAAGAAAATGAAATAGCTTCCAGTCCCACCTCTGCTTCTTGAAATTCTCGCCTCAGCCCTCATCATTTTCTGCTTATTTCAATAATTCAGTGCCTAGAATTTTAACCATTTCCAATAAAGCTCCCTTTTGTCTTTAGAAATACAATCATTGATGCACCAGTCAAGTTTAATCAACACAGCAAAATTTTATGTGGAGGTATCAAAATTTTATCAAGTCAAGATCCTCCTTATTTATTTATTTATTTCTTACTTTTTATCCAATCTTTTGAGCTTAATTTATATATAATAATCTAAAGTTTTATCTCTTTTTCTTCCTTTGTTTTTTTGTTCCTCCCTTTCGCTACCAATTCTATATATTTTATTATTCTATGAAAAGCATCTTTGTCCTTCTTCCCTCTCACTAAAAATAGGTCTGTCCTTCTTTCTCTTCTTCTTCTTCTTCTTCTTCTTCTTCTTCCTCCTCTAGTTCTTCTATAAATTTTAATATTTATTTATCATTTTGCAGAGGATTTTGAAGGTTAATTATGGCCATCAACAACCTTCTTGTCTTTATTTGTTGCATATTTATTTTGAGTTTTCAATTTTCTGAAGCAATTCAAGCTGGTTCTCTTGTCACCAATTTGCCTGGTTTCACTGGAAAGTTTCCATCCAAACACTACTCTGGGTGAGTTAATTTTTCGCAATTAATTTTTTATTTTTTATTTCATGAAGTTTTTGCATGGTGAATAGTTTTCTATTTTGTGTTTTTTTGTAGATATGTGAGTGTAGATGAGAAGAATCTTTTCTACTACTTCGTCGCTTCAGAAAGAAATCCCTCAAAGGATCCTGTTGTTCTTTGGCTCAATGGTGGCCCTGGTTGCTCCAGCTTTGATGGCTTTGTTTATGAACATGGTAGGCATCTTTTCATAATTAATATTTTTCCTGCAAACTTTGTTATACTATCAGTCTAGTAACTTTGTAGACAGTTCGTACTGTCTACAAAGTTACCAGACGTTCCAGACTGATATTATAACAAATTTGGCAGGAAAAATATTATTACAGAACTCTCACATAGGGTTAGAATTTGACCCTGTCAGTAAACAAGAATGTTGGAGGAAAACTAAGCTAGTGGGAGTGTAATTAATTTAGTATATGCATTAAAAAAAAAAAAATAGTAAATCAAATCTAGAAACATTAACATAAGTAAATTCTATTATTTTTTAATAGGGTCCAATAACCCCCAATTTTCCCTTAATTGGTCAGTAAATATTGTTAATCACCTCTACTCTTCTAGTCGGATGGCAAGCTTTTTAGCCATTAGGGTTAGTTATATCCAGAGAGTCTTATCTTCAAGTCGCGGAAGAGACAATTATCGGATTTACGCAAAAAAAAAAAAATATTGTCAATTAATCAGTAAATATAATATCGGAGTATAGGATGAAAATATTGGTAAAATTAAGTTTGGAAGACAATAAGAAGTCAGGAGGGAGTGGAACCACAAATTAAAGTCAGGGCGAGACATAAAATTATGGGGAATTTTTTCTTTTTCTTTTTCTTTTTCTTTTGATTTATGATTGATATTTTTTGTAAGTCAATTATGTACTGCTGAGTGTCCACGAAAAGGACAAAACCCTAATCTCTGTAACGCATTTGGTTGAGAGATTTGTTGTTCGAGAGAGAGGGTGACACTGACAGATCATGTCTTTTCATATTTGCCCCACACCCACTTCATGTGATGACCAAACCATCTTGAAGCATCTTTTAAGTTCTATGGTGTTGCTTTGTTTGCTTTCTAAACTACCATTTCTATACATAGATCTAGTTCCCAAACCCCAATTTCCCGGGTCGGGTCGGGTCGGGTCGGGTCGACAGTTCCCAAATAAAAGAGCCCACTCTTACTCCCAATAGGTGTTATTTTATCTAATTATGTTTGTGATTAGTCTCACTTGGAAGTATTTAGACAATTATTCACAACTTAGATTTCTTTGAATGGATGAAGATTCCAGAATCTCACGTAACTTAGATTTATTAAAAAGAATATAAAGTTTCCAAGTTAATCATCCTCTCCATAATTTCTTTTGTTAAATCACAAGAACTTACCTCATAATGAGTGGGTATTGATGTCATTACCTTTTTGTTGTTTATTTTAACACTTTAAAACTTAATAATCATCAAAAGCTAAAAGGGATTTTTTTTTTTTTCTATAGTTTTGGGTGATAATTATCAATGTAATTGATGAACCTTACCAAGAAAGAAAATGTTACATTTTCCAATGCAGGGCCATTCAATTTTGAAGAAGGAAATCAAAAAGGGGGCCTGCCCAAGTTGCATCTCAATCCATATAGCTGGACAAAGGTCAGTGTCAATTCTCTCTCATTACATAAATTTTTTTTGTGTTTTTTTGAGGACATATTAAATGGCCTTGAATTCACATGACAAGAACAATTCTTAGTACCAAATATCCCAAATAAATTTGTTGTGTTTTGTCCCCTTTTCGTGCTTGTTTTGTCTCATAATCTTTTCGGTCAGGCATATTTTATTTGTGAACCATGTTAATATATACTGTTAAGATGAAGATAATCGTTGTAGTACAACAAAACACTGAAAAACAGCTATATTCCTCTCTCATTCCGTGCAATGTTTTTATTGCTCGATTGTACGTATTACAATAGAATGTACAAAATTTTAATGAGATTGAATTCTCAAATTACTTGTTCGATAACAGTATCGATGGTCAAATCTAACTCACCCGGTTTATTTGTATTGGATTAGTAACATATTACGACACATATTTAGTGATTGTATTTAATTTATGTCTATTTTTATCGAAAAAAATATTGATATATATATTAGAAATTAAAAAAAAAAAAATCGTCTGTTTGTAATCTTATACAGGTTTCAAGCATTATTTATTTGGATTCTCCAGCTGGGGTTGGACTGTCTTACTCCAAAAATGAAAGCAAATACATAACTGGAGACATACAAACTGCAGTTGATACACATGCTTTCCTCCTTAAGGTAATTAATTTAATTAGGATGAGTTTATGAATGCTTTAAGTAAGAATTTAACATGTTTTGATAAAAGCATTTCCTGCATGTAAAACATTTTAATTCGTAGAACTTCTAGAAATTGAAGTCCAAATATTTTTCAAACTTCAAGAAAAGATTTTATCCAATGTTTTAAAACCCAACCCGAGGTGAAACCTGGCAAAGTTGCCTGGTTTCGGGTTGACCAGTTTAACCAGTTTGATCGGCGGTCCAACCGGTTGATAAAAACTTTTAAAATTCAGCAAATATACCCCTAAAAATTCGTTACATCCCTATAGGTTTAAAATTTAGCAAACACATCCTAAATACAAATCGGTCGGGGACTAGTTAGGGGCGACGACACCCTAGATGTAACCCCAATCGTCCCTTGAGCCCATTCCCCTTAAATTATACCCAAGATCTGGCCGAAATAGGTTCGATTTCGGCCAAATCTCACCGACGTCGGCGTCAGCATTCCAGGCCAGATCTCATCGACGTCGGCGTCGACAACTGTCCCCATCACCCAGAAATTACTACCCTCTTCCTCCCGACCAAAACCCATCTCACCCCACCCCCGTTAACCTCGCCAATCGCCGGCAAAAACCGTTTGTTTTTGCTGCCAGTTTTGTTCGATTTTCGGTCGATTTACTCACTGAAAATCAACGTCATCACCACCATTGCATTCACCGGCAGTTTCTCTTCAAAAGCCCCAACATCCCAGCTGACAATTGTTCGCCGATCATCCTCTGAAATCTTAGGGTTTTGGGTGAATAGGAAAAATATAAACCCAGCCCGTTGAAGGTTTCGGGTCCCGGTTCAACCAGTTAAACTGGCCGGGTCAGGCCAGGTTTTAAAACAATGATTTTGTCCACTTCAACTCTTCTTTCTTATTAAAAAATAAACTTGATATTAAAAAATTAAAAAAAGAACCTTGAGAAAATATAGAGGCAGAGAGTTTAACCATGTTTAATGGTGGGTAACATTATCCTTAATGTGTATCATGGGATCAAAGCTCAAGTATTGACTTTGTTAAGAAGAGTTTAGTTATGTTATTGCAGGGTAACATTACCCTTATGTTTTTTTTTTTTTTTTTCATCGGGGTGTCTCCATTAGCTTGCGCGCACCTCAACTAATCTTTTAGGACCCTGGAACTACCGGCCGAGTAAGAGCCCTAATGAACACCTTATTAGTGTTTGGGGGGACTCGAACTCAGGAACTCATGAAATCTCCTTTTACTCTTTTATTATTAAGCCACCCAACGGTGGTTAAAGTTTAGTTATGTTATTGCAAGGTAACGTTACCCTCCATCTGAACCAATCGTGGTTCAAGGATTATCCTGAATTAAAACATATGAAACTTATGTCTGAGAAAGTTTAATCATAAGATGTGAAATAGAACAACAATCAATTATTTATTTATTTATTTTATTTTATTTTTTTTTTGAGAAAGAAAATATTATCTGAAATTTCTTTTGAAATGTCATAAGCAAATTTAATATATAAGTTAAAAGATGTGAGCTTGTTGAATTGAAAGTTTAATTAATAAGAAATTTCTTGTTTTTGAAATTAGTGGTTTAAGCTATACCCTGAGTTTCTCAACAACCCATTTTATATCTCTGGAGAGTCTTATGCTGGTATTTATGTACCTACTCTTGCTTCTCAAGTAGTCAAAGGTAAAGAATTTATTAAATTAATTAATAATTACATTAATTTTTATCTTGACCCTCAATTTATTTATAGATTAATTTCTCCTAATTCTTTTCCAGGAATAAAAGCTGGCGACAAACCTAGAATCAACTTCGAAGTATGGAGTGCTTGAATAAGAAAAATTCCTCTATAGTTAACTTATAGTGTCGTTACAATAACGAGTTTATATTTGTAGGGTTACTTGGTGGGAAATGGAGTAACAGATAGAATGTTTGACGGAAATGCTCTTATTCCCTTTGCCCATGGAATGGGACTTATCTCAGATGATCTTTTTGAGGTAGGAGAATTTGAACTCTTTGTTTAACATTATTTTTAGAAGTTGAATAACACTATTTTTATTCAAACAAGGCAATGCTTGAAATAGAAATTAATTAATGTTACAGGAAGTTGAAGGTGCTTGTAGAGGAATCTACTATGATTATGAATCCAATGATGGTTGCATGAGGAGTATGCTAAAAGTTGACGAGGTGACTTAGTTTTTTCTTGACTCAATTAAAATTTGATTCCTTGATTATATCCTAAACAATCTTCTTCAACAAAACTTATTTTTCTGATTAATTTTGGATATATTGTTTAGGCTCTAACTGGACTAAATATTTACAACATTCTTCAACCTTGCTTCCATGAACCTCTATCACAACAAGATAGCAATGCAAATTCAAGCTTGCCGGCGAGCTTCCAGCAGCTAGGGGCCACTGAGAGGCCTCTCAAAGTGAGAAAAAGAATGTTTGGGCGAGCTTGGCCTCTCTGGTCTACTGTAAAAGATGGCATTGTCACATTGTGGCCTCAACTTATTGAAGGAGATGAACATCGCCATATTGCATGTGTTGTAAGTTACTCAAACCATTTTTTATTTGTTCCTTATATGAACATCGATTTTTTTTTTTTAAAACATAATCCTTGTTTATTGATGTTGATAATTTACGATTTGCTATAAATGCTA